GCCCAGGCCCAGAGTTCAGGCCCCACGACCGGACCTCCCAAAAAAAAATAGCCACTGATTTGCCTTTGTATCAATTAGTGTGTTGATCAATACGAGAAGCACAAAAAGGCACAGGAGTGCGAGTTCTGTAGGCATGCAATAACTCTTCAGCAATGAAGACCACAGGAAAGGCTGATGGCCAATGCATGCACAGCGTGAGAAATCCACCAGACATCACAGCCTTCAAACACACAACCAAACAGAAATATTACAGAAGCCAAACAATCCACTACATGAATATGTTGGAGATTTCTGAGCTTGAAGGAAGATCTTTTGAGATAACCCAGTCAGAAAAAAACAACAAGAGAAAGAAAATAAAGAAGGAAAGGAGGAAAATAGGGAGCGAGAAAGGAAAAGAAGGAAGGAAGGAAAGAAGGAGGGAGGGAGGGAGAGGGAGGGAGAGGGGAAAGGAAGGAAAAAGGGAAGGAAGTAGAAGAAGGAAGGAGGGAGAAAGGTAGAAGGAGGCTTAGAGGGATACCATTAGGTGAATAACATTAGCATTATGGATTTTCTACAAGAGAAGGGAAAGGCATGGAAACACATTTTAAAAGACAAGGGCCAAAAATTGGCTAAAACTTTGGGGGAAAAAGTTACAGAATCTAGGTCCTGGAAGACCCCTTAATAGAGCAGGTCTCATTAGGAAAAAGAGAGAGTGAGAGAAAGGGGGCAGGGAGAGGAGAGATTGATTTCAAATAAGCAACCAAACGAAAGTAACTCAAAGAATTAGGAAAGCAGGGCTGGGAAGGTGGCTCAGTGGTAGAGCACTTGCCTTGCATGCTCGAGGCCCTGGGTTCGATTCCTCAGCACCACATAAGCAAAAAAGAAAAAAAGCCGGAAGTGGCGCTGTGGCTCAAGTGGTAGAGCACGTCTTGAGCTGAAGAGCTGAGGGACAGTGCCCAAGCCCAGAGTTCAGGCCCCATGACTGGACCCAAAAAAAAAAAAAAAGAATTAGGAAAGCAAAGGCAACTCAACACAGCAGAAGGCAATCGCAAAGTTCAGGCTGTGGCACAGATATTGTTGGGCTTTTAGACAAGCTTAAAGTGAGAATTATAAAAAGAAAACGCAGAGAGTAGAAAAGTTCCCTCAACTCGCAGCTTGCTCAGAAAAGAAGCATGTAAAGTTTAGGCCAAGTAAGGCATGGCTACTGCAGAGATTAAGGCCTGGTAAAAGAATCCTCGCTGGGCAACACTGGCTCACATCTGTAATCCTAGTTATTTTAAAACCTGAAAACGGGAGGATCACAGTTCAAAGCCAGTCCAGGCTAAAAGTTCATGAGACAATTCAACTCCTAGCTGGGTACAGTGGCTGAGAACAGGAGGATTGCAGTTCCAGGACAATCTGGGCAGAAACTCGGTTTCCATTGAGGGAAGGTATATGCAGTAGGAGGTACCTGTGGTCCCAGAAAAGACAGGAAGGCTAAAGCAAGCAGATTGTGGTCAGGAGAACATCCTGTAAGACTCTGTCCTAAAAATGACCATCCAAAAACAGGACAGGGGGCATGGCTCAGTGGTTTCATCCTAGGGTAACAAGCCAGAGGCTCTGAGTTCAATCCCCAGTGCTAACCTGTGGGGTATTTTGTCCTGGATAATAGGAAGAACAACTTGAGGGCACCTCAGGAGTTGGTAAGCACACATCTATGGCTGGCTCAAGGATGCAAAGATTTGAACGCATTGGAAAGACTTGTTTTGGTAGGTGTGCTGGTCCTGGGGTGAGGCCCATCTAGGGAACTTGACAGGGGCCGTCTGCCTCTGTGCTCAGATTCCAGCTTGAGGGCGGTTTCCCCACAGCAGCCACTTCAAACTCACCCTGGAAACGGCTGTCACCTGCACCTGCACCCGCATGTGACAGCTTGGGAGTGTGTGGTTTGGAAAACTTACCTGGTCTCCTTCAGACTTCTCCCTTCAGAGAGCACCTCCTGCTTCTCTATCAGCTTGCTGCCTGAGCCCTCAGCATAATCCTCTTAACCTTTTCCTATCAAGTATCTATCTATCTATCTATCTATCTATCTATCTATCTATCTATCTATCTATCTATCTATCTATCTATCTATCTGTCTGTCTGTCTGTCTGTCTGTCTGTCTGTCTGTCTGTCTGTCTGTCTGTCTGTCTGTCAGTCTGTCTGTCTTTCTGTCTATCTACCTATCTTTCTATCTATCTGTCCGTGTGTCTGTCTGTCCATCCATCCATCCATCCACCTATCTGTCTGTCTCCGTCCGTCCATCCATCTATCTATCTATCTATCTATCTATCTATCTATCTATCTATCTATCTATCTATCTATCTATCTATCTATCTATCTATCTATCTATCTATCTAACTATCTTTATGTCTGTCTGGCTGGCTGGCTGTCTGGCTGGCTGGCTGTCTAGCTGTCATCTAGCTGTCCAACTAGCTGTATTTCTGCATTGTTGTGTCAAGTGCAATGTGAGATGTGACAGCTAGTATCAGTACTGACAATGGGAGCACAGAGAACCTGCATTGACCAGGGCCTAAGCTATCAAGTCATCACTGCTGTACTGGGCAAATGAACACCAATGAAGTGTCTGTGACTTTGTAGTGTTACTGAGTAAACTCTGACACAAGAAAAAGACAGCGTGCTGTCCAGCCTAGGTTTCTAACATAGTTCGCTTGTGACTCAAATGTCTCCCCTTGTCCACGTCCAGTCACTCCAAGGCCCCTGCAGCCATGGCCCTGGGGCCTGGATGCTGTCCAGGACGGCTCGGCCCTTAGCCTCATCCTGGTGCAGGGTTTATACAGCGATCAGGATGCTGGCACTCTGGGTCTTGGAGGCAGTGCAGGCAGCTGGGAGGGAAAAGCTTCAGAGGCAAGAGGACAGCCATCAGCAGCAAGTGGAGCCACTCGGAGGGGAGGGAGAGGCGGCGGTGCTGCCAGGCTGCAGGGGTGGGGGGGAATCCCCAAAGCCGTGGCCATGAGCTCCACTGCAAAGCGTGGTACAAGCCATGGAGGTGCAGGACTGAATGCTTGGCCTCCTGGGCTTCCAGCTCATTTTGGTCCCATCCTTTTCATGTTTGCTGTGTGTGTGTGTGTGTGTGTGTGTGTGTGTGTGTGTGTATGTGTGTGTGTGCGTGTGTGTGTGTGTGTGTGTGTGTGTGTGTGTGTGTGTGTGTGTGTGTGTTCAGGGACTTGAACTTAGGGCCTGAGCTCTCACTGAGCTTTTGGGCGCTAGGCTAGTGCCTTACCATTTGAGCCACAATTCCACTTCTGGCTTTTTGTTGATTAATTAGAACTAAGAGTCTCACAGACTTAACTGTGAAGACTGGCTTCAAACTGCAGTCCTCAGATCCTAGCCTCTTGAGTAGATAGGATTATAGGCATGTGCCTCCAACATCTGGCCTCCATATTTCCTTTTTCTTTCTTTTTTTCTTCTCTTTTCTCTTTCCTTCTTTCTTTCTTTCTTTCTTTCTTTCCCTTCCTTCTTTCCTTCCTTCCTTCCTTTCTTCCTTTTTTTTTTTTTTTTTGGTACTGGTCCTGAGCCTTGACCTCAGGGCCCGGGTGCTGTCCCTGAGCATCTTTTGCTCAAGGCTAGCACTCTACCACTTGAGCCACTGTGCCACTTCCAGCTTTTGCTGACCCACAGATTTCCTGTCCTGGCTGGCTTTGAACTGCAATTCTCAGATCTCAGTCTCCTGAGTAGCTAGGATTACAGGTGTGAGCCACTGGTGCCTGGTCCATCTTTTTTTGGATGCTTCTATTCTTCCTTGTGGAATGGGGGGTGAGTCTAAGAGGAGACTTGTACTTGGGACAATGTTGGACTCTTGAAGATGATACAGGGCTGTATCTTGCGTCATGAACTGGGTGTGAGTACTTTGGGGTCCATGGATGAATGTTCTGGGCTTAAGAAGATATGCTTGACTGTCACACTGCTGAGGAGTGCAGCTATGATGATTCATCTTGTGCAGTTGATTGGATTAAGAAACACCTAGGAAGTGGGTGCTGATAGCTCATGCCTGTAATCCTAAGAATGCAGGCAGCTGAGATCTGAGGATCTGGGTTCAAAGCTAGTCAGAGCAGAAACTTCTGTGAGACTCTTAGCTCCAATTAATAAGCAAAAACCTCCAGAAGTGGATGTGTAGCTTAAATGGTAAAGCACTGTCCCAGTACTGGTATGTGTGTGCATATGTGTGCATGTGCACACACACATATACACCAACACTGCTCAGTGGGTTTTCAGAGTGGTTACCTCATTTTAATTTCCCATCAGCAAATAAATTCCATTTAGTTTTGTCAGAGTTTTGTTTTCAGTACTTTGGATCATGTTATTAACTTAAACCATTCTAATAGCTAGCCTGTAGTAGTAGGTCTTGAACTCAGGGCTAGGATGATATTTCTTAGCTGTTTTTGCTCAAGGTTAGCTCTCTACCACTTGAGACACAGCTTCACTTCCAGCTTTTTGATGGTTTATTGGAGATAAGAGTCTTGTGGACTTTTCTGTCTGGGGTTTGAATTCTGATTCTCAGGTCTCGGCCTCTTGAGCAGGTAGGATTACAGGCATCAGCCACCAAGACTAGACTCTAGTCACCTCTTTAATGAGTTCCTTTTATAAAGTGCTAAAAATCTCCTGTTTTGTTCTTAGATTATCTTCCTGATACTGAGTTGTAAGTATTGTGAATCCAATATGTTTTTGTCAGATGTTTGTGTTCATATTTTTTCTTAGTTTGTGGCTTTTGAAGATCAGTTTTTAATTTTGATAAAGTTCATTTTCATGAATTTTTTCTTCCATGCTTAATGCTTTCAGCATTTTGTATAGGAAATCTTTCTCCAACAAAAGGACATTTTTGATTTTCTCCTATATATTATTTGACAAATTTTATAGTCCTAGACTTAATGCTTAGGTCGATAGTTTATATGCAGTTAACTTTTCTGTTGAGTGGCAGGACCACTGTGAAGCCATGAGCTGAGACTGGGGGGGGGGGGGGGGGGAGCGCGGGATAGCTGTGAGGATCCGGGTGACAGTGTGAGAGGTACTAGGTTTCGACAAGTTTGCATCATGTGGGAGTATAAGCTGGTTGTTCTTAGCTCAGGAGGTGTTGGAAAATCTCTCTGTACAGTTTGTTCAAGGAATTTTTGTTGAAAAATATGATCCTACAATAGAAGATTCTTATAGAAAGCAAGTTGAAGTAGATGCACAGCAGTGTATGCTTGAAATTTTGGATACTGCAGGAATGGAACAATTTACAGCAATGAGGGATTTGTACATGCAAAATGGACAAGGCTTTGCTTGAGTTTATTCCATCACAGCACAGTACACATTTAATGACTTACAAGATCTAAGAGAGCAGATTCTTCGAGTTAAAGACACTCATGACATTCCAATGATCCTCGTTGGTAATAAGTGTGACTTGGAAGATGAAAGGGTTGTAGGAAAGGAACAAGGTCAAAATCTAGCAAGACAATGGAACAACTGTGCGTCCTTAGAATCTTCTGCAAAATCAAAAATAAATGTTAATAGATTTTTTATGACCTAGTGCGGCAAATTAACAGAAAAACTCCAGTACCTGGAAAGGCTTGCAAAAAGTCGTCATGTCAGCTGCTTTAATAAATTAAATGCATTGTAGCTCTGAGCCAGGTCTGAAGAACTGTTGCCCAATTCAACAGTGCCAGCATTCCTACTTTGTTAAACATACCAACATTTTAAATGGACTTTCCTGTGGTGGTATCTTTAAGAGGCGGATGAAAGCTATTATATCAGTTTGCACATTCTAATCACTTTCCAGTATCATGAGAGATTTTTACTTATATAATAGTCCTACAATATGCAGCTGGTAAAACCAGAAGCTACATCCAGTATTACTGCTAAGAGACATTCTTCATCCACCAATGTTTTACATGTATGAAAATAGTGTATTGTATGCTTTAACACATCCCCATTCTTTGTATTGGAGAGTACAATAATGTAAATCCTAAAAAGCACCACTATTTTAGCATAATAAAAGAAAGTCCAAAGAGCTCCTATATATTGCTTCTTTGATACTTGTAGCTTATTTTATTTTTTAAAAAAATTGAAGGTCATTATCATTGTATTGTACAAAATAAGCGCTTTGATTAACACAGCTATATAGTTTTTTTTAATTTTTCAAAAACCTGTGGAGACAGTGATCTTGTCTTTAAAATACAATAGTCCTTTCAGTATGATGTCTTAGATAAAGACGTTGCCTTTAATATCTGTTGGGAAGGAAATGTCCAGACCTCTCAAATCTTATGATTTTTTTTCTTTTTTGTTTACATAAGGAACAATGTTTATAGTTGTGTGTACAGTGTGGGTCTACAACAAGAAGTGGATATTTTCAAACAATTTTTTAATTATTTAACAATTTTTGTAAATCATTTTCAGGCTTCTGCAGCTGTAGATTCTCACTGTGAACACCTTGCTTGCTCATGCATAAGTGTATTTGCAATACCAAATATACAGGTTTAATATTTTTGCCTGTGAGTGATTGTTTCCCATGTGTAACATTTTGGTTGAGATGTTAAATGGTGGACGAGTACTGTGGATGTGAATGTGGGAAGTAATTTTAATCATGTGTAATTGGTCACAAGGCCTAATTTGCAGTAACTATTGCTGTTTTATTTAACAATGCGTTGCTGCTTTGTATGCATTAACATTTGGGTGTAAAGATTGTGTGTCTATCCAACAGGGAGCCACAGTATTTAAACTGACCAACCTAATGTTACAACTACTTTGAGGTGGCCAAATGTAAACTAAAAAGCTTTAATTAAAGTGGTGCAATTTTGTATAACTTAGCATCAGTGGTTCAATAAATTTGGATTGCCATGCAAGAGCTTGCATTATAAAAAAAAATGAACACCTAATGTTTCTAACAGCATCTGTCTAAATGATTCTTCATTTAATTCTCTTGGAACCTATGGTACAAGTTAATTGAAGATATATGTGATAAGCATTGTAAATAATTTGATCAGAATATATGTGAATTCAGTAGTGAGTATTCTATTTATTTGTGTTCTATTGTATTTGTATTCTATTTTATATATTCTATACTGAGTAGTCTATTATACTCATCTAAAATTTTAATTAATTAATTGTCTTAATGCTAGGATTCAAACCAAGAGTTTTGTGGATTCTAGGCCAGTGTCCTACCATGAAGCTATAGCCTGGCCATAAAATCGTTACCTATTTATTACTTATTGGGAGTTTATGTGATACTGAGGAATCGAACTCAGGTTCTCATGCATGCTAGGCAAGCACTCTACCACTAAGCCACATTCTTAGCCCTATTTATTTATTTTTATGCGGGTCCTGAGGCTTGAACGCAGGGTCTAGGTGTTCTCCCAGAGCTCTCTGGTTCAAGGCTACTGGTTCATTCTACTACTTGAGCCACAGCTCCACTTCAGGATTTTGGGGAGTTAACTGGAGAGAAGAGTCTCATGGACTTTCCTTCCTTGGGCTGGCTTCAAACCACGATCCTCAGACCTCAGCTTCCTGACTAGTTAGGAGGCACTGGTGCCCAGCTAAATAGTTACTTTTACATCCATGTCTTCCCGTCTTCTATTTTTATATTAAGTCATGAAGTTAGGTAGTATAAACCATGAGTTCTTTTTCTTTTTTCTTTTTTTTGTCGGTCGTGGGGCTTGAACTCTGGGTCTGGGCGCTGTCCCTCAGCTCTTCAGCTCAAGGCGAGCGCTCTACCACTTGAGCTACAGCGCCACTTCCAGTTTTCTGGTGGTTTATTGGAGATAGGAGTCTCACGGTCTTTCTTGCCCGGGCTGGCTTTGAACCTCGATCCTCAGATCTCAGCCTCCTGAGTAGCTAGGATTACAGGCGTGAGCCACCAGCGCCCGGCGAATTCTTTTTCTTTTGATGGAATTCGTATGAGATCAACATGAGCAGAATTCTTGTGAGTACATCATCTGATGAAGTGGCAGGTATTACACCCCCGATGATGAGTAATAAAAAGCAAATCTGAACCAACAATGTTAGAGGAAAGACTGAATTACGATCATGTAGCTGACCCATGACTATGAAGGAATCAAGAGCCAACTTAATTTCTGCTTGGAAAAGCACCAAGGATACCAAATTGGAGCAATACACTGGAACATTCCACCTGTATTATGAGACTGGACAGAGTTCACCTGAGGACCGTGATGGTCAGGGGCCTTTTCCCTTCATAGGAAAAGTCCATCCATTCTCTGCTAGACACGCAGTGTGTCTTGCTTTAGATGGGGGTTCTTAATCTCTGTATGCGTCTGTATCTAGCTTACTAAAACAACTACATTGACCTTTGACCCTTTTCTTCTCTCTTCTCTATCTTCTTCTTTTGACCAGCCTCTAGATCATGCCAGCTATCTCCATACCCACGCGCTTTTCCTCCCATTTATAATGCTTGCCTTCTTAATCATACATTTTTTTTGGGAGGGGTCCAGTCGTGGGGCCTGAACTCTGAACCTGGGCACTGTACCTCAGCTCTTCAGCTCAAGGCTAGCGCTCTACCTCTTGAGCCACAGCGTCACTTCCAGCGTTTTTCTTTTTGCTTATGTGGTGCTCAGGAATGGAACCTAGGGCCTCAGGCATGCAAGGCAAGCGCTCTACCACTGAGCCACCTTCCCAGCCCCAATCATACATTTTTTATTAGCATTATCGTTAGGCTACTTAACTATCAAAACCATTAAAATGTCAACAAATTGTGTATCGGTGTGACTTTTATGCACAGAAATGTTTATAAAGAAAAGTCGAATCCACGAGGGATTAACACAGCTAGGTGTATGTGTGAGTGTGCATGTGTACGTGAGTGCGCACACCATTCTGTGCTGTCCTTGAGGGTTTTTGTTTGCTCAAACCCAGCACTCTAAAATCATTAGAGCCACAACCCCACTTCTAGAATTTTTTGGTGGTTAATTGGAGATAAGAAGCTCATAGACTTTCCTGCTCAGACTTTCTTCAAACTATGATCCTCAGATCTCAACCTTCTGAGTAACTAGGATTGTAGGCATGAGCTACTGGCACTGGGTTATACTTCTTTTTTTTTTTTTAATCTTTGCCTGTGTTTAGCATTTTTCATGCTCAAAATTTTTTTTTGGGTTCAGTCGTGGGGCCTGAACTCTGGGCCTGGGCGCTGTCCCTCAGCTCTTCAGCTCAAGGCTAGCGCTCTACCACTTGAGCCACAGCGCCACGTCTGGCTTTTTTTTTCTTTTTGTTTATGTGGTGCTGAGGAATCGAACCCAGGGCCTCAGGCATGCAAGGCAAGCGCTCTACCACTGAGCCACCTCCCCAGCCCCAATCATGCTTAAAATTTAAAAACAACAACAACAACCATCTAGCTTATGTGAAAACAAAAGAACGAAGTCAGGTCGTCTGTTTTCCTCCTATTCCTGAGGTTATTTTATGATCACATTTTAGAAATCTGTGTCAAGATGGCATTTGCTCTCCCCAAGCTCATCCATACTCACACTCGGGCCTCATGTTGTGTGTTGTGTGTTGTGTGTGCATTGTGTGTGTTGTCACTCTGTCCTTTTCCCCATGAAAGAAGTAACATTAATGGAAGACAAATCTCACTCTAGCCGTCTCAGACTCGATCGGCCTCTTCTCCCACCCCACTGCAAAGCACTCACGTCTCCAGTCTCTCTGATCCTCTGTCTCACTGGTTTCTAGTAAGAAGGAGCCAGGAACAGTCAAGTCTCACTCATTCTGACAGCCGCCGAGTGGGTCGAGTGGTTCCTGTCCTCGATCTCTTCATTTCCTCTCTGCATTTTCACTTCTTTGCCCAGATCCGTGGCTTCCACTCCCATCTCATCCACTCAGCCACAGAATGCCCTGCACGGAGTGCATGATTTGGGAATCTCCTCTCGATGGTGAAGCTTGCAGGCTATTGGCCCATTTAGGCATCGGTTTGACAAGCACTGTTAAAGAGTTTGGGCCATGCACCTGGCATTCAGTGAAACACAAGATACAGGGTGAGTAAGACATGACCCTTCCCTCACACCTTTCACAATCATGCACTGATGTGTCCTCCGTCTGTTTCTCAAGCCATGGTATCTTTCCTAAGACAAAGCTACATGAGGCCGCCTCCTGGGCAGTTGGTGAGATGTTCAAACATCATGGCAGAAAGGAGTCTAGCTCCACTCCTCCGCCAGTCCGGCCTATATTCTTCCTACCCATTCTATTGGTGGCCTTGGTATTAAGCCCTAAATCATCTTTGTTTCTTCACTCTTCCTGCCAAGGTCCCAGCTCTATCTCTAAACACACACCTGCCCTCCTCACACCACCAACATCCAAAGCCTGTGCTCCTCAAGAAGGTTTTCCTGGAATTCTCTCTGGTGTGTTAGAATGACATTTTGCCGGGCGCCAGGGGCTCACGCCTTATAATCCTAGCTACTCAGGAGGCTGAGATCTTAGGATCGTGGTTCAAAGACAGCCTGGGCAGGAAAGTCCATGAGACTCTTATCTCCAATGAACCACCAGAAAACTGGAAGTGGTGCTGTAGCTCAAAGTGGTAGAGTGCTAGCCTTGAGCTGAAGAACAGCACCCACACCCAGAATTCAAGCCCCACGACTAACAAAAGAAGAAAGAAAGAAGAAGAAGAAGAAGAAGAAGAAGAAGAAGAAGAAGAAGAAGAAGAAGAAGAAGAAGAAGAAGA